TTTGGAGCTATGACTGATCCTAACTCATCCTATCTCAGTTGCTGGGGTCACCTTTGCACCAGCAGACGGTTCTTTTGTACTGGGATTATCCTGCCAGGTGTCCTTCCTGAACAAAGATGATGACAGACCTCAGAAAGTGATATTTTCCAGAAATTCAGACAACCATGGTCTTTCAGAAGATTATGGCAGGTAAGAAAAGAAGGATTTTATAGCCTCATAGAAAAAGAAAAGAAACTCTAGGACTGTGGAGGGTGGTTTGAAAGTTTTCCTGACTTCCCAATGCAGACCAAAGAGAAATGTTTTTGGTGGTGCAGCTGCTCAGGTGATAGTTACAGACAGAGAGACCACAGGCTGGTTTGGAACAATGTGACTGTTCCAAGAAAACAAGAAAGTGAAGCAGAAAATATTAGAAGGCCTTCCATTACTTGCCTTTTCTAGATGGAGAGTGTGAAGGGTATCAATATTTGACATGTGGGTACATCCCCTGAACACAAAAATTATCTTTAGCTCTCCCCATCCAACTCTGCAGCTCCTGTGAGTTTCTGTGCTGTATCAGTGTGTGACCTGAGTTTCTGAAGGGGCGTGGCTGGTAATGGCTGTGGCTGAGCTCTGGGTTTACAGACAAATCTATTTTCCTGGGGTCAGTAGATGTGCTGTGGCACTCAGAGCCAAGTCAAAGATGTCTGTGCTGTACCATAACATTCTTGGTACCTCACCTGCAGTGTGTAATTAGCTTGAAATTGAGAACAAGAATAGGGGGTTTGGTTTTTTGCTTTGTTGGTATGTTACGGGTTTTTGTTTGAGGGTTGGAATATCTCTATAAATTCTATTCACTTTTGGGCCAAAGTAGGGCTGGATGCTTTGAGAATTTATCTGTCACCTGGTTCAATATTGATCTAGCTCCAGGCAAGGAAAACCAGAGGGAGACTGTGAATGAGAAGGCAGGAGAAAAAGACAAAGCTCTGTGAAGAAAAGCACTTTAAAAAACACAGACAAACAAAACCAAAAGAATGCACACAAAAAAACCCTCACTGACCTTCCACTGATTTCAGTTAATTATTCTTATTGCATGCTCTGGATTCATCTGTTAAAATGTGTTTTCTCAAAGGGATAACAATAAGAGATATTTTTTTAAAAAACAATTAAGATACTTGCTTTTGGTATAACAATTTCACAGATTTGACTTCATGGTTAACTACTGCTGTGTGTGTGATTCAGGGATGGCTGGGACTTTCAGGGCAGGAGTTTTGCTGTGTGAAGGTTTTTGTTTTGTTTTCCCATTTTTGCAAGCAAGGGGAATTGCCCTAACATGCTCATTGCCACCAAGTCTGTAGCAACAGCCACTTTCATGTTGTTCCTGAAAGTAAGGTTTGAAGTGCTGTAAGTCCAAAATCATATAAAATATTACAATGACCTGAAATATGAAGAGATAGCAGATGTTTTCCCTCAATAACACCTATGAGGCAAATAATTTTATTTAATTCTTCCCCATTTATTTCCTTTTACAATATAGTAAACTGTAGACCAATTTCTTTGCCTGGCACCCTTAAAGTTTCCGCTATGCTATTTTTGATTGCTTGTTTGATGCTCACTCCTTTCCCCTGAATCTGGATGTTAGCTTATTGCAGCCATAATCCTGCTGCCAGCCCCTGCTGCCAGAGAGCCAAGCCTTTAGCTGTTGAGCAGCCTTGTTTTCCCTGCTGTGCCCAAAGAGCACTGGGGCTGTAACACAGGTCCACCACTGCTGTGTGTTCAGGCCACAGTGCCTAAGAGCAGCTCCACCCTGCCGTGCTCAGGCTTGGCCTTACCACAATTAACCCTGCTAATTTATACCTCGCTGTTTGAAAGGTTCACTTACCAAAACTGACAGTGGCCCACCTGCAGCGAGCATGGTAAAAACAAATGTCAGTAGGCTGCCTCTGCACCAATCCTGTCATGCTCATGTGGATTTTGTTACTGGAGCAGAGAATGCTGCACGTCACACAGAAGAAAGGAAAGCTCACTAAGTTAATGACTATTCCAGAAAAGGGGTAAACAAAGGCTGGAGTGTTAGGAGTAGTTCGCAATATAGGAAGGAGGAAGAGGAAAAAGACAAATGTTTTAAATGGAGGAAATGCCATTGTTAGAATAAATGATCAGTGAAGTGCATCAATGATTCAATGTTCCCAGCTGTCATGAGCCTCAGAGACAGGCTCTCGAGCACTGCAATGAGCTGTACATTCCCCAGACCTTCCTGAGTGAGATAGATGAAGCCAGCTGAGCAATGAAAAATGGGTATTGAAATGTGCTAAGTTTTCACTGGTGATGTTGAGGACCACACCATAAGGCTTTTGCCAGAGCTAGTCAAGAGTGATCATTCTGCATTAAGGAAAATTCAAAGGTTTAACAGGTTCTTTTCAAACAAGGATGGAAAGCCAAAATGTTCATTTTAATGAAATGAAGTGTTACATGGCCTGGAGAAGGGATGTGGAGAGAGGAGAGAAAGCTGTTCTTTGCTCTCAAGCTGTTAGACTATTGTAAAAAGAAAGATACAGGTAGGTGTTTCTTCTTGTCTATGCGGAATAAAACAAGAAGTTAAGAGTTTAATTTTAATCAGGCTAACCTGAGGAGGCTCTTAAAATGAGGAAAGAATAATTGGAAGCCACCATAACTGAAAGGCTGTAAAAATAGGTGAAGCAAATACCAGCCAGGAAAGTCTGAAGTACCGGTGGTTCTTAAAACAGGGGCAGAGATCTCTCAAGAGGATTTAGTGCATTCTTACTTTCTTTTATTTAAGCCTCACGGAAATATTTTATTCTTGATTACATTTAATTTTAAATCTCAGAAGTGTCTGAGAGAGATGGGAGTTGTTGCTGTATTTGATACTGTATTGCATATTTAATACCGTAACATCTACCACATTACCATTAATACACCAGATTTACCATATAAATTGTGGTGACTTGCTTAATTATATTTAACTACAGAAAAAGACATTCGCTAATTGCCCATGAAAATTCTAATTATGTTCTCAGGAAATGTTCAGACACTGATCTTCCAGTGTGATAGATCTTTGTTAATATAAAACACCAGCAAATTGTAATTTAATTTTGCATGGCAAAATTAGATCTAGTTTTGCAAAAGTGAGAACAGCTATTAGGAATCCAACTTGAAACACTCACGTTTGAAGAATAAAGTCTGTAAGCACTGTGACACCCATAGGCTATTACTGAAAGTCAGACACTGCAGAGGTATAGGAGTGAATCCAGTCATTCACTGCTGTCACATTAGAGGTGGAAATACAGACTTACAGTGCAGCTGAAAAATTGACTTCCTGAGAGAATGAGATGATGCCACAGGTTGCAAGCTTTTCTCTCAAGGACCACATCTGCTTTATAACTTCAGGTTTTGGAACAGATATGTCTGAAAGGGCAGCATCTAGGATGCTATGACAATTTTCCAGTGGTGATGTTTTTCTCAGTGCTTGATAAAAAGATTTGTAAGATTAGTATTTTTCTCAGTTAATACACTTGAGCGTTACTAATACTTTTCTCCAGGGGCCTGTTACCTTTTTGATGGATGCAAGCTTTAGCATTAAATATGAGCTGTTTCAAAAGAGGAAGGAGTGAAACTCTGTTGCTTTGGTACTGAGTGGAAAAAGGAGAAATCCTTTTCCCTTTCAGCTGAGGGAGGGCTTTGAAGCTGCTGAGTGACACCACAGCACCACATTGACTCTCTGCTGGGCAAGCAGGACGTTTTGCAAGGCATCTTTGCAAAGCAGATGGCTCAAAGCCAAGGCTTGGTCAAAGGAATCTGTCTCCTAGTATTTTTAAGTGATTTATGTCTCAGTCAGGAGCAGGGCAGTTGGGCTGGTCTCAAAGCCTGGCTGGAGGATAAGAAATTCTGCTTTTCCTCATGCTAGAGGGTTTCTGCATTGCCCAGTAGCCTTATATCTGGTTTGTTGAAGCCAAATTTCACATTGAGGCAGAGCAGCCTTCGAGCCATTTAAGTTACAAAACTCTCTTTAGTTCACATTTTTTTTCTAGAGCAGGGACCAGAGGTGGTCCATTATATAGGCACTCCTTCCCACTAAGACCTAGGTACTTAGTAAATGAGTCTGAGATTGGTAGATGGGCTCTGTGTCCAGCCACGTGGAAGTACTACATTAATTCCTCAGGTCAGCAATTTGCTGTTAGCTTCATGTTTTCTGCCTTTTGGGAATTCTAGCTTTTCCACAATTAAAGCTAGATTTCTTGCTGGAAACCCTTGACCTTTTGTGCAGCAGACCAAATTAAACTGCATCTTGTCAGTGAGTTAATGTACTGAAAAATGTCCCTCTGTGCAGCTGTCCATGGCCACGGAGGAGAAGTAGGGGTGTCCTCTGCCCACGCCCCAGGGGACGAGGGCCCTTGGAAACCACCCCACCCTTCTCTCCATTCTCAGTGCCCGTGAGGCCACGCTGCAGCATCAGACACTTTTTGCAGGGAGGCCTTTGGGACTGATGGCAGTTCTGTGGATTCCTGGGTACAGCCTCCCACGGCCCTAAACAGCAGCACGGCCGCAGGAGGCAGCACAACTAGCCAAATCAAGGTGAAACCAAGCCAGAAAACATTAAGTGCTGCTGTCTAGATTCACCCATCCACACATCACATATGCTCTAGCTCAGCAGGTAAGTCTGGCCCTCAGATTAAAAGACACTCCTGCCAGACTTGCCCACAGCACAGCAAGATCCTTGACAAAATCTGTCAAACCAAAATATTATATTATACAAAATAAATTTAGTAAGATACAGTGTTTTTTAAAATGATACAACTTGCAAGGTGAATACTTCCAAGGATCTCTCATTTAGTGAAGAGCTTGGATTTCATTTTCGGGGTAATGCCAGCTTCTGACCTGAGATGCCATACCACAGCCAGCTTTAGCAGACCCCATAGCACAGAACAAACTGGCTGTACCTTGTATCACAGCTAAGAAGCTGAGAAAATAGATAGATTGAGCTAACACAACCAGAGAACCAGATGTACCAAAATAAAATTTATTCTTAAAATGCTAGTTTACACATAACAACAAAGGTTACATAAGGAAAAGTGCAATTAGTGGAGGAGGCTAATTTCACCTTAGTATTTAACATCTCGCTGCACTGCAAGTAGCTTCACACTCAGGCTATTATACTTCTTAGCCGTGGACAAAAATGTGATTTATGTTTTGATGTTAACATCATTTCTGTATAGATAAAAGGTGTGCCAGCATTCACACCTTTTGAGCATGTACTGGACAATTTCTCAAACAAGTCTTGCATGAAACCCAGCTCAGAAGCTAAATTATAAGCATACAAAATATATATTAGCTTACTCAAGTCTAAAAAAAAATTTAAAATGAGGTAAAATAAACCAGAACAGTTTTCTATGTGCAAGCCTATATTCAGTCTAGAAAAAAAAATAGTAACAACCCTGCTCTTTTAAAGAAATTAGCTCTCAAAAAGTGCAGCTAATTCACTGTCTTCAATATGAAGGACCTTGCCTATGTTACTTGTGAAAAGTCACAGTTAATGTTGCAACTAGGAGCAGGACACTCAACCATCAGATGCTGTAAGATTAGATCAGGTGATGAGTGGAATCACCTAATGATACTACAGAGTAGGAAATTCACAAACCGCTTTATTTTGTTGCCTAACCCTATTTTTGACATATTAGGGTGGCTTTAAAATCTTTTCAAAGGCACGTTTTTCTTTTAAGATTGAAAGGCAACCATCTCCCTGCTAAATAAGCAGGATGGTGAAGTCAAGCTTACCTATGAAACGAAATGCAAGGCTTCACAAAGACAGTAAGGACAGAGATGCCTTCTTAAAGCAGTGGTCACTTCTACTCACTTTGCATCATTTTCTTTAGTCTCCTTTTTATCCCACAGATCTTTCTCTGAGATTTACAAAAATAGCTTTGGAAAGAAGTAATTAGAACACTGCACATCTCCAAGTTATGTAGCACATTCTACCTCTTCCCGTTTTCCCACTTTTCCATTATCCTCTCCTTAACATGCATTAAAGCCACAAATCTTTGCCATGCATCCCTACCTGCCTTTGCTACAAGCATGTAGAGGGTCACAGCAAGCCTCCTGACACCATCTACTGCACTCCTGGTAGGTACAAAATGAGTTGTGACATTCTGTTTCCATCCCTGTGCACACACACATACTCACACACAGCTACCACAGCTTGCTGAGACATCACTGCCTTCCATACTACTTTGCAATTCTTTCTCCTAGTGACCCAGGAGAGCTGATAGCAGGAAGAATGCAGCATATACTTGAGATACAGGCAAGCTACTACTACAGTACATAGCATACACATAAGTTGCACCTTGGTTTTCTTTCCTTTCGAGGATAAGGTTTGGCTAAGAACTTCAGGAGCATAACATGGTTTAGTAAGTCCCACAGTCTAATGAACTTGGATTTGTTCAGACAGCAAACAAAACCTGCCAGCTGGTTTCACCATGGTTTCACCATGCAGTATGTGAACTAGCACTGTTTTGTTGCCAAATGGTAGTGTGGATCACCAATATGGTAATGAACTTTCAATCTGACCCAAGCTCTGCCACTGGGGGAAGAGGCCACTGGACAACCTTGGACTGCCCAGCTGATCAGGTTCTCTCTCTTGTCTTCTCCTTGAAGTCTGCAGATCTACATAGCCTTCCTTGGCAGATGGTACCTGAACACCATTAGGCTTCCACTCTGTGTGTACAATTTTGTAATTCTGACCCTCGTTATTGTCCCAGAAGGTATGTTCTCCACTTTGGTAAGAAATGCAAAACTCTATCTTCTCTTCAGAGGAAATGGCAGGAGGGAAATTAATGGTGAATGAGAAGGTGTCATTTTCAAAATCACTGTAAACATTGTTCATGTACACACACTCAACATCTTTGTAGGTCTTCCACGTATCGAAAGTAATACGAACCTGAACCTTTTTTTCATAGCTCACATTTTTTACTTTCACGGTACCTGACAGCACCTTCTCTTGCAGGGTGCAGGTCTCCAGGCAGACCATGTTCTTCTGCAGAAGGTTCCTGAAGTCCAGGTAGTCAGCTGAGGGCTGAGGGAAACCCAGAATCAAGTTTTTCTCCTCATGGAGTTTTATGTCCTCAATGCCTAAGAGGTCAAACTGCAGATCCCACAGAGGGGGCTCCTGGAACTCGGAGAAGGTGTGGATCACTGTCAGGGACAGCCCCTTGGAGTCTGCAAACACAACGTGCTTCTTGGCTCGGGCTGGCGAGTGGTTCCAGTCACTCTTCTGATCGTCAGAGTCACGTTTCACGTGAAGGCACGGCCTGAGAGGTTTGAGTCTGTTCACAAAGTTGTTTCTTTGGCAGTCCTCGAGGGGGCTGAGAAAGCTCTTCAGCGGTGGAGAATGGGCTATGCAAATTCGCATGGCCATATCCACAGGCATGATGGAGCTGGGCAAGGGTCTCGGGTCCAAGATCTGTATCATTCTGAATGGAGAAGAAACACAGGATGTTATGGTTTATTACATCAGATAAGAAGCTTCTCAAGAATGTGTATTTACTTCATCCATTCTCTTAATTATTCACAGCCTCATCTCTATATAGCTTTAAACAATATAGCCTAAATCAAAATTGACAGTTCTACCTAAGGAACCAGGGCAAGACTAGTCAGTCATTTCTTGCCAATCCTAAACTTCTTCAATTCAAATCTATTCTCCTTTTTTTATCTAAACCTCTGAAAAACAGATTTTAGTGAAAGCTAATTGAACATATTTTCTTGAAAATACCGAAAAGAACATTCTAGTAACAAGTAAAACAGATCCAATTAAAGTGGAAGTGCTCATCCACTTGAATTTCCCTCTTAGAGGCCTGGAGTGAGGTTTTAAAATTCCAACAAGCTGGATCAGCTGCTTCATCTCTGAGCACAGGCAGCACTGTATTAAGCAAGTTGCCTATGCCATTGGAGCATCAGATGGGATTCTGCGTATCTTCATGCAGAACCATCATTCTGTGGCTCTGAACAACTATTAGTCATTCTTTTTAGGCACTTGTTTGGTTGACTAAAAATACTAAAGCACCTTTAGAAATATTTTTATAGACTATGAACCAGGTCTAAGTAATAGGGTTCTTTGCACAGTTAATGTCAACTGCTGAGTGAAGCAGGGAAAAAAGCAGGAGAAGAGAGGGACATACTATTTTTTCACCTCATTAGGATTCAAGAACTGACTTTAAAACAACTTTTGATAATCCCCAAAGACCATGCTGAAAGACTGCTGCAAGTATTCAGTAAGAATGCTACAGTTCTATTTGTAAAGAATTACTCACAGCCCTCCATCTCAGATGATGGATATCAAAATTACTGTGCAAGGCCATGGCCCACTCAAGGCCAGACAGCTTGACTGTTTCTAAGGGGCTTCAACTCTACCACATCTCTGCTGAGATGGATGCAGTCCATGTTGGAAATGCAGAGTTTTGTTGAGTCACAGAAAGGCATTTGCTTTGTCACTTAAATAAATTGCTTTTTGCTTCCCAGAGCTCTCACTGGTATTCCAGAGCCTTGCCAAAAATAAAGCAGAAACTGCACTGGTCTCTTTTTTTTTTTTTTTTTTTTTTTTTTTTTTTTTTTTTTTTTTACTGTGCAATATTTACCATAATAAGAAGTAGGAGGAGAGTACCCAAATCAAATTAATCAACTTTTGCTTTGCTTTATTAGGAAAAGAACTAAGGCTTCAGAAATACTCTCTCTGCAACTTTGGTGACCCGAGTTTTTGCAGTGTCGGGGGAAAAAAAAAAAAAAAAAAAGAGGAACGGAAAGAAATAAAAGGAACAAAGCCCACGCAACACCGAAATAGCAAAGAACAGCCAAGCACGCAAACCCCACGGCACAAGCGGAGCAGCTGCGGGCTGCAGCGGCGGGGGCAGTGCCCGGCGGGGCCCGCTCGCACGGCCGGGNCCGGGGCTGCCCAGGGCTGCCCGGGGCCCCAGCGCCGCCGCCGGACACACCCCCGGCGGCCGGAGCTGCCCCTGCTCCCTCGTCCTTCGGGAAGGGCAGCGGCAGCTGAGGGCACGCAGGGCTCCGGGGAGGGCTCGCCCCAGCACGCGGCTTTTCCAGCGGCCAGGGAGCGAACGGGGATTCGCTGCATGGGCTGTTCGCGTGCTCCACATGCCGGTGCGGGGCTGCTTCAGGGCGCTGCTAAAGGACCTTGCCCGTGGTTAAATGTTAAATTATAGCCTTCTCTGCCTCCTTGGAAAGGAGCTGGAACCCTGTGTAAGGTAATGCTCCCTGGGCTAGAAATCCATCACTCTGGAATAAAACTGCCTTTGTCCTCAGTGAAAAAGTACTTTTAATGTGGATGTGCTTTACTTAATGTGATTTACTTTTTAACCTCTAATGTGGATGGTGCTGATAGCTTTTCACCTCCCACACCTTGTAATCAGTGCATTGTCTGAGGATGACAGGCCCTGTTGTAGGTCCCACATTTTATCTACTGCCTTTTTCCAGAGGAAAGGGACAAAAACTAGTGGAAGGCAGCCCCACAGCATTAGCCATAGCAGCACTGTGGCACTGCTGGTGTCCCTCTTCCCAGAGGCCCCGTGGCAGAAAAGCCCTAGCAGAGGCTGTAGACAGCCCACAGGTGACAGCGTGCTGTCCTCTGCACCCTGTGAGCAATCCTATTAGAAAAGATCCATCCCTGAGTTACTGCTCTTCAAAGACCATGTCCTGGTTACCCGCTTCCTCTCTGTGTCTTCTGTGGATCAACAGTTCCACTGCCACCTTCTTGCTGCTCAGCTGCTCTTTCCCAAGGGTGGTAGATGACTTGCAGTCAGCCTACAAGATGTGATAGGGAGTCTGTGAACTGTGATTTTCTGAGTTCACAGCTTTTACTGGTATGAGAGACCACATACAAATGTGAAGTCCTGTGTTCTACATGAAGCAAAGGGGCTTAGAGCAATGAACAAACAGTAAAGGATTTTTCTGTTCTTGATTTGTGAGGAAAGGAAATTAAAAGCTCTTATGCTGCTTATGTGTGAGAATTTATTAGAAGATAGGGTGTGAGCATAGCAGATGATGACAAGGGTGCTTCCATCTTAGATTCAAGCTACATATAAGCAGGGGGAACAAACAATAAGGAAAGGCTAGAGGCTCCTGGTGATGGATGCATGGCACATGGATCAGTATCTGCCTCTGTACATATAATGAGAATATTCACAAGACAGTAACACTTCAGTTTCTTATTTCTGCCCCTTGGTGACTGAAGTTCTGCCTTCCGTGACAATACATGACATTAAGTGTCACCCAGATGAAGCCTGAAGCAGTAACTGGCAATGCAGCAAGGCTTTGGAAAGTCCTGCTCTGTTCCCCAGAGCCAGTTACTCAGGACAACCTTCCCTAGTCTTCCACTTCTCAAGCTGCATCCCTGCTGCTCCCATTGCTCTTCCTCTCTTTTCCCTTCTCTTATCTTTTGGTGACTGCTGGCTCCCTCTCAAAGGCATATATTTTCTCATTGTTTGTCTACAGAAAGTGATAGAAAACAGCATCTGTGTATTGGAAGCCTTCCTAGTAGCCTTACTAGTCACAAGTTTATTTTTTTTTTGGAGGAGCCACAAAGACTTTCAGACCCAGCCACCTACCTGCAAGGCCAAACCTAAGCCTGGCCAAACATACCCGTGGGTATAAGGGAAGACTGGATACATGGCTGGCACTAACCAAATCTCTTCTACTTACCCATGACAAAATATTAGTAAATAACTCTGGAGTTTTATGAGCCTGTGCTACTTGAATCTGTCCCTGCAGCTTCCTCCACACACTGCTTAGCTGGGCTGCTGTGTTATCAGGGATCACGTGCAGCAGCTGGGGCTGCTCTATCACACTGTCTGCTGGCACTAAATAAGAGCTGCTTGAAGCCTGTAAAACAGGAGCTGCCTCAAGGCTTTCCTACACATATTTCTGTTGCTATGCAGTAGCTCATTGCACTGTTGGGTGCTATAAAATATTTTGCTCCTGCTGTGTAAAATACCTGGTTTTCCCAACTTGGAAAACATCTTGAAAGTTTATTTAAAGTGATATGTTTAGCAAAAAAAAAAAACCAGTCGTGAGATCCAGAGCCTTTCACGGGCAGATCATTGCCCAAGTCAGTAAATACAGACTGGATCCAATATTTTTGTGCCTAATTGGTAATCTGGAGCACGTATTTCATGGCCGTGGACTGGTGTCCCAGTTCCTGGTTGCCAATACAAGCAGAGAGGATTCTGCAGAGCCAGGATAACTCTTTCTTCATCCAGGGAGGCATCTCTGCACTGAGGCAAACTGACAGGGTTATTTGAGTTAGCATACCAGTTTGTCCTGTCAGTGATGGTTCCCTAGCTGTGCTTTTTATAGAGGACTCAGGTTTCCAGATACTTTTTTGGCATCTTAAAATGTAGATCTCTCTGTCTATCTTGCCTTTCAAACATACCTGCTAAAATGGGAGCACCAGAAGAAAAAAATATTAGTCTTACTGTGCATTTGACAGCACTTTGTGACATATCAGCTTTTCTGACATTTGTAGGTGCACAATGGCAGAAATATATTACTGGAAAAAGCACATCTGATTATAAAATCAAGCCCCATCATAGGGAGTTGTATCTCCAACTGCTTCTGTAAGAAGGAAACATAAATTGATCACCCAGTCTAGTTCTTTGTCTTTTCCTGAAAAAGTGGCATGTTAGATGTAGTAAGTTAATTCCAACAAGTTAGCTATAGAAAACACAGTTTTATTATAGCTACCGTAGTTTCACTAAACCTTAAATGTATGTTTTTAAAAAAACTTTGCAGCCTAGATGGTCCAGATGCAATGTAAGGCACAGGGTCACTTTCAAGGAGTTCATTGAGGCTGCTCAGTGACAAACAGGCAATTGGGTTCACGCTGTTCTGTTGAAAGACAAATATATGGTATTAGCTCCACAGTGGATGCTTTTATATGCAGACGGTCCTCCCAGTCTTGCCATTCTTCACCTCACCTGAACTAACCAAGACCTTTCAATCAGCAGTTCTGGGAACAGATAATGAGTGATTGTGCCTTCCTGTCAGCTATCACACTGCAATGGGCTGCTCTGGCTCATCTGTTTGCTGGCTCTTGTCATTTTATGAGAATGAAAGAACTGCTTTTTTTCAGCCTCTGTTCTGTAACTGAGTAATTAAGCAAGGATTTTGTGGTTTACACTGACTTTATTACTTTCAGGTCGCTCTGCTTCTTTGCTATCCTCCCCCACAACTTCAGGAGGGAAGAAAAGAAATACATTGCAGTGCATCTTAAAATGTAGATCTCTCTGTCTATCTTACAGGATATACAAAGAGTAGAGGAGCCATTGGCATTTAATTAAAGCCTTTTGAAGCAAAGATAAGCAAATATTTCCTCAGAGCAAAGTAAAGTCATGGCCACATTTATAGGTAAAAAAGTTCAGAGAGGAAAAAACATATCTCCATTTCACTTGCATAGTAATGCATCTCTTGAGAAATCTTTGCTGTTTACTGGGTGGGAGAGTAATGGTAGCTTAATGCTATTACAGTATGCAATTGGGCAGGGAAGATTTTGATTTGGTTTTGGGCTTGAAACTAAAACCACTTGCTAGGCCAGTGGCACTATACTGGTGTCATTAGAAAACAGACTATGTCCACTTTATTTTGGCTGGCAGGTATTTTGTTCCTGCAGCATCACACACCACCTATGAACGAGACAGAGCTTTAATGACTTTAAAGAACATCTGTGGTAATAGACAGGGATAGTTCTATCACACAAGGTTTACAGCAGCCTTTTGTTTTCCTTGACTTGAGCTCTTCTGTTCAATATTTGTTCTCTGCTACTAAGACTGATCTTTGTAAATGTGTATTATATATGAAGTTGGATTGCACTTTTCCATGAATGTGACCATGAAGAAAATAGTGATTTTTCAGGTACATAGCAAGTCAGTTGAGCCTGTAAGCCTTTGAAAATTTAAAATGACTTTTAATGGTTTATCTGATGAAATACAGTGAGCAGAAGTTTTATTAAGTCTTAACTTGCTTAAGTCTTTACTTGCTTCTCAGAGCCCTCTGGTGAACTTTGCAAATAACTAATGGTTGCAAATATATACCAAGGAAACTAGTCCTGGGAAACTCTGTTATTGTTTTAGGAACTTCTTCAGCACTGGCACAATCCGTACAAGGAAGAAATAATTTTTTTTTATAATTTTTATTAGCCCATTTCTCATGGTCAGGGTGGCGGGTGGCTCCAACCAGATCCAACATGCAAAAGCCGTTGGGAAGCCCTCACTGAGATACCTCTAAACTCTAATCATTTGTTTATGGGCAAATCAGAGAAAGCCTAGAAAAAAACCATTGCACTGCCCTCACTGCAATACTGCCACAACCATCCCCTAGGGAGCAGGGAAAGCAACATGCAGCCAAACACACAAAGATGGATGGGGTTTATCTTTTCTTACAGAAACAGGACATAGGTCTAATTCTTTGGACATTCATAGGGGTTCTAGGTCTCATTCTATTTCAGTCAATAGTGCAAGTTCTTACAACTCTTGGAACTCTCTAAGGTTAAATTCAAAGACATTTAAATTCCTTGAAACTGGAAGCTTTGGACTGAATTAGTAGCTAGTAATTGACTTAAAATATCTAATATTGTTAAGGCTGATTAATGATAAATTAGTCAATTGTAGATGAGCCATTGCTTTGAAAATGTATAGTGGCAGAGAAGTGCATTGCTTTCTGAAAATTGTGACAAAGAAAAAGCAAGAAAACATATCTCTGGCTGCTCAAATGTTTAGTGTTGCGTGATTGTATTAAATTCAGGATATTATGAGCAAAATTCCTTAAACTTATTTTATGCAAAATGCAATCTTTTAGAAGTATAATTTCTTTGCCAGTATGTAGTAAGATGAAATAAAGACAATGCCCCATTATTTATAAATTGCTGCAATGTAGAGTAAAAAAGGATGGAAAAATGAAAGAAGGAAGAGCATAAATGTAGGTATTCATTCTTGGAATAACTGGAACTTTCCATTAAGTGTTTTACAAGAGTGCAAAAAACAAAACACACACATATATTTTATACATGAGTATAAATCTGGCTATAAAGTCAGACCAGACTCACTTTTGAGAATGCAAAGGCTCTCCTAGATATCTGAAATAAATGCAGTATTTCAATATTACAACATTGTTTTTCTCCATTTTTTGTGGGTTTTATTTTTAACCACACACCTTAGACAGTTGAACCATGATAATCTGTGGCCAAACATTTTATAAATATGAATCAGGTTGCTGTGTGTAGTTAATCAGTATTTATTCTCTCTTTTATTTCCTAGGCCCAGGTGAAGGAATTACCTCTGCTAATGAATAGTCTTTTCCAAAGAAAACAGTAAGTGAAATGCTGCTTTGTGCAATTTGGTTTATGCTTAATGTTGTGTGAAGAAGCAAATGTTAGTTGAGCAGACACTTCCATCAGCTGTGTGGGCAGTATTCTCGTTCTTTGCAATCTCTCAAGGAAAAATGTGGTTTTTTTATCCACATGTGCACAATTCCCTACAGACTTGCAGGAGCCACATGATTATTCAATATGATTACCATTCCCATCAAATTCATGTTGAATAAAACCTTCATCCTGAACAAGCATTGCTATATCTGACAGTGGCCCAACTAACAGCTGCAAGATGTTCACACAGAGTGTTTAGAAGCCCTTGAAGGGTCTGAGTAACACTCCTTTTCTTGTTCTGCCACCCAAGAGACATGATCCATTTCTCTGTTTTAGGTTCTCTTACAAGGTCCTTTTTGTCTTGTGTATCACAAGGGAAGAATGGGGCTTGGAAATCAGTACAGTGAAATTCTGTGCCAAGTTTTTCTTGGATTTTCTGTGTGGGGAAAAAGCTCCCCTATGGCATACATCTAAGAGATGAATGAATGAATCTTTTCTCTTTCAGGTTTAGTTTAATTTCTAACTACTTCAGACAAAAAAATTGAGTTTCCCAGCATCTGACCTAGTTATCCCTCTTTGGGTGCAGCATACATATGTATATGAATGTATATTTCCCCAGTTTCACAGGGATCAAATTTCATGCAGACATTCACTTCATTTTTAGATTTGCTGGAAAGAATGAAGCTCTTCAATCCAAGTGCTGTAACATCTTTCATCCTGCAGTGGAAGGGGAAGTAGTTATGGTCCTGAGTGTAGAAAGATTTGTGGCCTAAATAATATATTTGCAATAAATTGGTTTCTTTGGGTTATTCTTAGATGCTGCTTCCCAGAACACAGATGGTTTATTGTCAAAATGTGCTTGCTCCATATATGTAATAATGCTTACAGAAAGTTTTGCAAGATTTAAAATGGTTTTAATCAGTGAGAATAATCTTGCATGCTTCTCTGGAGAATTGCAGTCACAGAATAGTGGAGATTGCAAGAGGCCTTTAGAGGTCCCATAATCCAGTCTCCTCCTTAAAGCAGGAATAGCTTTGAATAGCAAAATAGGAGTGGCAAAGTTAGATCTGGCTGCTCAGGTTGCTTGTCCAGCTGAGCTTTTAACATCTTCAAGGACACAGCCTCTCTAGACAACCTCTGCCAGTGCAAACAACTCCATTAATTTTTTTCTATTTATCTCTCTGGAATTCCTTTTCTGCAACTTGTGACTGCTGCCTCTTTTCCTTTTGCTGGACTTCTCAAGGAAAAGTCTGGCTCAATCTTCTCTCAATTTCCTCTTAGTAGTGAGAAGCTGCACTCTGACCCACTCTAACTTAGCTTTTCTCTTGCAAGTTAAGCAAAGTCAGCTCCCTCAGTCTCACCTTCTGCAGCACATTCCAGGCCACTAACCATGCTGATGACCTTCCACTGCTTTTAGTGCAAACCTAGTGCTCAAATGCAAACCTAACCCCCACACATCCTTCCTACCTAGCTCTTTTTAACCATTTTGTGTTAACCAGGCAACTGGATGGACTTAGTCCATTGAGTGAAACAAAGCTCATGCCCTAACTTCATCTACCCTTCACTCTGCTGCAAAGGCATGGATCTCACCTTGGTGATGCTGACACGCATTTCCTAGTCATAATGTATACTTTAAGGGTATGAGGAGTTGAGGGCTTTCATCTGAAGAGAAATCACTGAGTGTGTTGGGGGGAAAAAGGAATTTTGTTTTTATTCCCAGACTAGGTGAAAGTAAAAAACTTCTCTTAACCCAGACGTAGTTAGAAATTTTTCTTTTTAAAGAAGTTGTAATTTTAAAGGAATAAATGTCCAACAGTGTGTTTCTTGGAAACATAACATTAAAAAACAAAATTAAACAAAGCCAACCTTTCTTTTTGCCTTCAGCAAAGATTTCTACCAAGGACCCCTTTGCAGAGAATGAGGTGGGACACAAAATAACACATGGCATCGGTGGCATGGCATTCATGTCCTTCTCCTAGGTAAGGGAAAACCCATCATGAAGTACTTGATCATGTTTTATATACCCATATATTTCTCTGCAGTATATTTATGCATGCAAAGATGCATAGCTGTAACAGGAGACTCTCAGAGAGATGGAGTCCAGTCAAAATGGTTTTCAGCCTATTCATAGGACAGGAGCTGGTTGTCAGCAAGCCAGGGCTTGGCCATATCAACTGGCTATTATGGGAGAGGAAGTTGTGTTTCTGTCCTTTGGGAGCAAGTGAGGGAATGGAGGGAAGTAAAATATTTACACAATAAATCTTTTTCCATCCCATTTAAATCACTAACTTTTGATATTTCTCTGTACCCCAAGGGAAGGAAAAGTTGCTCCCTTGGTAGCTTTTTTTCTAAGGGCAGTAATAAAGACAGTAAGCATGAAAGAAAATAAACTCTAGTTCTGTATAAAACAACATAGAAATTATGCATTCCTTTTATTGCTGCTGTCATATATTACACATTTGGCTTCTCAAGATAATAGCCATATTCATAATTTATACAGTCTGTTTGAATATCCCATGAAGAAGGTATTTAAGGAGAAACTTCTCTGCTAGTCATAGCATAACAATGTTGAAAGCAGGATGGGGTGTTGGTCAATGGAATGTCTCTGTTTTAGAAATTACATCCTATTATCAGGGCTGCTAGTTTCAAAATCAGGATATGCATGCCCTGCAGGTATAATACCAGAAAATGGTATAACTGGCCCTTTTATGTAACACATAAAGTAAGTACAGACAGAGGAAGAGAAGTGATGATTCATTATCTGTTCATCCAAACACCAAGAATGCTGATTCACATACTACATCCTAAAGCTTCACAAGTCTAAACATATCCTTGACTATTGTCAAATCATCTTTCTAGATGCTGTGCACAGGAGATGAGCTATGCTTTCTGTCACTGATCTTGTTCTAAAATCAAATGGTTTAGATCAGCCTTAGAGTCAGTAGCATTTAATGTCTCTTCTAGTATACCCTACTTCTTCCATCCCTTTGCAAGTGATTTAGTACTTATTTTGTCCTTTGTATTTTCAAACAGCATATGGAACTTTAAAAATACATAATATAGTTGATAGCATACTATAGCTTTTTATTCCAGGCTTATGCTTGTGCCCTGATTTTTTTATGATAGCCATATACAAAAATGAAGGCAAATTAATCCTTCTTGCAAGAAAAAGTCATTCTGTCCAAGACAGGGAGCTTCCTGGACTCAGACATTTATGGTTTTTACTTTTACATCACTTTGCCAAAGTTAGCAAAATGTTCTTTCTACCATTTTTATCAAAATAAGACATTAATCTCTATTTTGTTTAAACTGTATAAACTGTTAGAGTTGGATGCAAAGTTGATAAAAAACAGCTGTTCCTAATGAAACTGCATGAGACCTACTCCAGTGGAACCACATTAGACTGGTGTGAAGTATGAATAACATCTACCACATAAATATAAAATGTCTCTGCCATGATTCTCTGGCTGACATTTCTAATGATACCTTCTCAGCGAAGTCAATAGAGATATATATATAGTCTCTTGCTTTCGTGGGTCTTTGAGGTCCTCTGTTCTCAGGATCATTTCCTTTCTTTATCCATATGAATTTGAAAGACTAATGATACTGCTGAAGATCTTTCCCTGAACAATGTTACCACACTTGGCGTGTAACCCTTACAATGCAGCTAATAACAAGGGCGAGAACTCCCACTTGAAACTCCTACCAGGCTTTTCTTGATGGGGCAAGATGATGCTTAGAAACACATTCAGTGGGATGTGTTCCGAGTTTAGGGACAATTATACTTTCACTGTGCATCATCCCCACAGCAGCAATAGTTTGCAGAAATTTAACAGAGCATGGGGTTCCTTTGAATCCGTGGGTTTCTGTACTTCAGTATCAGTTTACTATAATCAGATCAAATGGCAAAAACCAACCCAAATCTGTTGTAATGCTGAAAAGCCATAAAAAACTTACAGTTTCATGAAGTGTTGCCTAACATTTATTTCATCTGTCTGTATTGTCTGTTTATGGATGAAGGGGTGGTTCAGCAGACCAGCTGAGCAAACCTACTTTCCCTGCAGATTCATATTGGTGTGAGTTTAACACTGGAATGAAAATGTTTCCATGCCTTATCAAAAGAGCTAGATGGCTAAAGATCTGAATCAGAGCAAGACTTTATAGCCTGAAGGAAGCATGACTTACATATAATCCAGACTATATACACTCCAGCAACTTGTAGCCAAAGAACCATAGAACTCTTTGAGCTGCTGCTATGTCACACAGTATTTTAACTACTACCAAAACGTATTGTGCCTCCGTTGTTGAAATATAGTATCAAATCTAAATCCAGTTTTCTTATTTTCTAAGTCTTCCGAGTAGATGAGTCCAATTACCCACTGAGACTTCACTCTTGCAGATAACTGATTACTCAACCACCTTAAATTTGCCTTTGGTAGCCAGGCTCAGAGGGCTGATGATAGAGTGGCTGATGCAAAAAGCATATGCATGGATTTGGAGTGGGTGAGAGAGATACAAGCACACATCCGGAGAAATTGCTTCATTTGCTTGCTCTTTTTTAATCTGAAAAACAGGGCACTGATTTCCTGCCAGGGGACAGTTTTGAATAGGAATGTCTGGAATTGCCTACTAAATTTGGTTTAACTTGTAGTAGGAGGCAGAGAGCAGGAGGAAATCATGGTGGGAAAAAATGGATGTCAGTCTAGGAAAAAAATGGGATAGAGGCTCTGTATCTAGAGGCTTTCTTCTGTATCTGAAGAGATGCTATGACAGAGCCCTATTTTTATGGGGTCATATTTTCTTCATATAGGACCCAGAAGGGAGCACTGCCAGTTCATGTTGGTCCTTTTCTCCTATCATAAGTGTCATAATTTAAATGTAACATGTGCCAAGAAAGAACCAAGCGAAAATAATTTAGATACATTGTGTAAATATGAAGAGAAATTTTAAGTCTTCATAAATTCTGTATTTTCACTGCAGGTAAGTGTTTTATAGCCACATTTGAGTTTATCTAAACATCATTATCTGATGGAAATTCAGTCTTGGGTGTTATTTAAAAAACAAACAAAATCTTTTAGTGTCCTTGAGCAGTGCTAAGCACAGGGCCTCTAATTCAGAGGAGATGCTGGCCACTGCCCTTCCTTTGCTCTGTTTCCTTCGCCTTGTGCCTCAAGTGATGCAGCACAAAATTTCGGAAAAGGTGACAGCTAAAATGACACGTGACATTTTAAGAAGCACGTTTTCCTGACATCCCAGTTCTCCTCCCACCTCTTTTTTTGTCCCTGCAGTTAGAGGAGCTGTGCTAGTCACGGGTGTCTAACAGCTCTGTGAGCCAGTCTTAGGGCTGGGCTCACATGTCTGCGCAACGAACTCTCCACAGTGGAAAATTCATCCCTGGACTGAGGCAAGGCAGGTTACTGGAGGGAATATAACAGGGACTCCATGTGCCATTCTTGCCCAGAGGATGCAAGGGGAAGGGATCAGATTCATCCTTGCCTCCTCTCACTTGTAGCTAAGAGAAGACAGTCAAGAATTGATTCAGTGAGCCTTGCTAAAAGATTCAGGGTCAGGTCAGGGGTTTGCTGAAGACAGAGCATGAGCTGAGATGAACACCCTTGTCTGAAAAATTACTAAGAACAGTCTTGTTCTCAGTTGCAGCTGAGAGGCAGCTTCCAAGGTGAGCAGCCTGTGAGCTCCAAAGTGGTGCCTCACAGAATCAGTGAATTAGTCTTAACATATGCTAAGACACCAGGTGCAAAAACATGGTTAGCATGTCAGTGGATCTGCTGCAAACATGTGCTGATTTGGTAGCACAAATGCACAGCTATTAACATATATTTTAAAGGAAAGGTTCTACACCATATTCAGAAGCAACTTAAAAATAGGAGAGTGTTAGTTTCACATAGATAAACTTGGAGGACTGGCATAAGATAATAAAAGGTACATAGCAAAGTAAAAGAACATTCAAATAAATCCCTGCAGGTCACTTTGGCCCTGCTTTGAATTCCTTCCAAATTTAGCCTGGACTGTCCATGCCCATGTCAAGCTGTTTTTATGCACAGCACAACAGAACTGGTCCAAACGAAGCTGCAAACAGAAAAACAAATTCCATTATCTTTTTCATATTTTTCCTTCTTAATCACTTGATAACTTAAAACCTTCCAATAGCTGAAAGAAAACTTGCTAGTTAGGAAGTGGTTTAGAGATCCCTGAACTGAAAGACAGAATGTAAAGTGAACATCAATCAAGGTACTAAGAAACTATGGAAGATCTTTCTCTGTGACAAGTCCCCAGAAAAGTTGTTACTGTTTGGGGCTTTTTTTTACTTTTTCCTAAAAGAGAAGGAATGTAATTTTTCCTATTAAGTAGCCACAAAGTGCAGGTAATTGTCAGTCACTGGTTAAAATATTTCCCTCCCCACCTCCCAAAATTCAAAAAATTCTTAGACTTCTTGTATATGGAGGTTTTTTTATTGTTTGGGATTCTTGGTTAACATTTATGTAAATAGTTCCATTTGTTAATTTTAAGTGCTGTCTTGTTTTGCAAAAGAACAGGGTAAAAAATACCCTGTGTGCAGAATTACAATTTAATTTGTTAGCCATATTTCTAATGCAGTTTTTAGCATAACAAAAGCACTGTTTTGGCCTAAAAAAATCAAGGTCTTTTACTGATTTTAAATTTCTGCTTTGAAACTTTTTGACACATAATTCACATTATGCTTATGGTGCTTTCTTTTCATTCAACTTCTTTTTCCCTATACAATGGACAGAAGGCAGGGTTTCTAAATGGCACCATGTTCTAAGATTTATCACAGTGCTTGGCATCAGAATTAAAAAGAACATCAGACTTTGCCATTACTCTCAGTAACCACGTACCCAGCTGCTTTGCACAATTCCTCCCAATATAGACACAGAGGGGTTATATTAAGCCTTGTCACAGTTTGAATTTGGAACCCCTGTCCAAAGAGTGTAATGTCACCTATGCTTTCACATTTGTGCTGGGAACAGCTAGAGCAGAAGCAGGGGTTTAAAAGAGGACATTGGCAGTTTGCCTGAAAAAAAAAAAAAAACCCCACAAAACAAACTGCCAATAAATCTTCAGTCTAAAGTGTCTGGACAAAGTGTAACTTAGAAATTAAAAAGAATCAATAACCAGGCAATTTCAGAATACAAACACACAATCTTGGATTCTTTGTTTCTTTGTCAAGAAAAAGCGTATTTCCAAAGTAAGTCAGTAGCTAAAGGTTAAATCTGGTTCCTCAGGCTGCCTTCCTAAAGGAGGAGTTTCAGTGTTCAGCCAAGCTGACTTCTGTCCATACATACAGATCTCTGTCTTGAGTAATTCTGAGAGCTTGGCCTTTGTGGGAGCATAGCTTGGATTTCATGGTTTCTGATCAGACTAATAATAATAGCAAGGCTATGACTACTCCATTCTGCCAACAGAACTATTTAGGTGGTTCTAATATCACTTTGCAGAGCATCTGCTTTTACTTCACTCCTTTTTCATTCTTGAATTAGCTCTTACCACACATACAGAGAACTCTTCTACTATCCCAACTGGGTTATTATCTCAGTAAAAAAACAAGATAGCTGTATAAATGCTGCTTTGCAAGCGTTCACACAGCAGTGTTGTACTCCCTGCTCATCCTCCATCCATCCTGCTGCCTCACAAGTTCCTTGCAGCCTGCAGCCTTAGTGGCCCTGTGAAGTGTAAGACACCAGCTCATACCATGTCTTAACCCAAGCTTCCAAGTCAGCATCTGCTGGACAAGGATGTTGCTTTAGAGAGAGGTCTCAGGGTGGCCATTAATGAATAATTTAGATTTAACCACTATGGTTTCCCATAGCTTTTTTTGAACAATGTAAGCAGCATGAATACTTGTTTAATTTCTAACTATACTGAAGCATAATATCTTCTGATTTCTGCTTCTGCTCTTCAGAGACTTATTAAATATTCCTTTTAAGAATGTTAAGAGCTCAGCATCAAAGTACATCATAAATATGTCCAGAAATAAATAACACAGTACTGAGGAATGTTAGCTAAGGGAATCTATAGTAGATTTATTTCTTTCTCTCCCACTCTTCTGCCAGTGCAGAGGCATAGCCTTCAGATTCTTCTCCTATCCTAAAGGGACTGGCAGTTGACCAGCTTAATTAGCAAAGCGTTAAGGCATGTTACTGAACTTCCCATGAGCAGGTCTCTGTATGTAAGTCAACATGACTACTCCAAATATTCCAATACTTTTCTAGACAGAGCTAGGCCATGTGTGGAGAAAAGAATAACTACTTCAGCTCTCAGGCAAGGTGGGCTACACCTACAGGACTCTGTGAGATCTCTGCTATAAGCAGACCAGTTCTTCCCCAGAAGATGCTGTTGCTGTGCCGTTAGATGGAAAAGACAGTTTCTACTTCATACTCTCTGTAATGTAAATCCAACTTCCCAGAACTCCTGTTACCTGAGTAGATGCCCAGTGAGATGCCCAGAAAAAGTACAATTTTATTTTATTCCAAGTTTGTTTGGCTAAAAGCTCTTTTGGCCAAATTGGAGGATTCCTAATACCTCCTGATTTTTCCTGATTGCTCTGTCTTGGATAAGAAAACCCCTGAGCCATTTGTGCATATGCTGTCATCAGTTCTACACTGCTCTGCCCCCTTCTGAATGCACGGCTGACTTTGTTGGTTGTGTCCAACTGCCTCAAGTGATAATTTGTTTGCCTACAATTTAAGTTCCCTAGTAACTAGCATGCATTCCATTTATTTTTTTTTCCAGGAAAACAATTTATCTTGGATCAAATACAAATTAGGCCAACTTGTATCCAGTGTTTATCTGTTGCAGAGGACTTCTGTTTACAAGCTAAGAGGGCCACAAGAACATCTGGGCCTTGTCATCTAAATTGCAAAGGCTGTTCTGGTCACCACTGAATAATTTCCATGCAAGGACTGTATTGAGGAAGACAGCAGTAGCTCTGCTCCATGAGCTGTCCAGATAGCAAAGGAAGGATCATTAGTGAAAATATTTGTGAAGAAAACCAGTTAGTAACCTAATGAGGAAAAGCTATTTCAGTGTTAAATGCCTACGGTATCTTTACTTGCATGTACATACACTGTGTGCAGTGATAGCATTTCAAATGTCTGTAAGGTTTTAAGATCTTCATCATGCCCACTTCTCCACACCAGTCTAACCTTCCATTCAGCTGGTCTGTGTCCAGTCTTGAAGTTGTTCAAGTCATGATGCACATCTGGAAGCAAAACAGGCCCTCACTGGGCATTTTCTGGGGAAGTGAGGTAGAAGACTCAGTTAAGTATTTCTCACTTTGAAGACCAAAGGGCCTGGTCAGATGAGGCAAAGAATTGAAAAGGGAAGACAGAAGGATGACCATTCCTGCTCCTGGAATGATTCCAGGGAGATAGAACCTGGGATATATTTAGTTCTAACCCCAAGTAACCTTGCTGTTGAAATGACATCTTGTGTAACTTCACCTTAGCAGCAATAGCTAGCATTTATGTAATTATGTAAAGTAAAAATTACCTATTTCTTAATTATAAAGAAATGTATTCAGTAATCTCTAAAATACAAAAAGGAAAACTTTTTAATGTATTTCCCAGATAGCTAAAATCCTCATTATACAGCATTACCCTATACCTGAACAGTATTGCCATTTAAAGAGGAATTTATCAGGTATTAGGCATCAGTTGTACTGGCCAGTTACAGAGTGCCATGCTAAATAATCACATTCCCAGGTGAAATTTAGCACCATTTACTATTTTTAAGCAGTCAGATTACATCAGTGTTTACCCATGGTCTTAGAGTGACCATAAGGCAACATTTCAACAATCAAGGCATGTTTGATAAAAGAGGAAAACGAGTATTTTTCTGGACTGAATGGAAAAATTATCTTCCATGGACAAATAAAGACCTAAATTACTTCTATGAGGCTTCATATAAACTATATAGAAGAAATCTCAATTGGTTATGATAATTAGAGAATAAAAAAAGTAGATCACAGATATAATCCTAGAAAAAACTAGAAGGGCTTAAAATTTTCCCTCTCTTGGTAAAGAAACCCAAAATCCAGAGAAAGGCTGTGCTACACATAAATGAATGGTATGTTGACATGAATTTATGTCCCTGACCTGTGATGGAAACCAATAATACTTCATTTGCTAACATTCTCCCATCCTTTAAATGTATAATACTGACAATAAAAAAAAAGCCAACAAATTTGCTATTCTATTTTAAAATTGCTTTACTAATGGGTTTTGTGTGTGTGTGTGTGTGTGAGAGAGAGAGAATAACGCCAAAGACATTTTACTTTTAAAATGTTTTAATAAATTCCAGTGTAAAATTCAGTAAGCTTTTTATAAAGCATCAGTGAAACTGGCACAAGATCCTTTTTCTTGCACATATTAGTCAGGTAATACATACAAAAAAAAAAGACCTATGTAATAGAGTCTTAAAATATTGCCAGATTAAGGGCATTTAATTTATTTTTGCAGTTTAATTTGCTTTCAACACTGTTAAAGTGCACAGTTATTTTAGAACTTTCTGACTACTCAATGTTTTCTAACTTCTGTTAGACTCAAGTCTTCAATAAATTTAAGGTGTAACCAGAAGTTCTCTTGCTTTTTTTTAATCTCAGAGGTCCGATAAAGGGACAAATTAATGAAATAGATATTCCTTAAGTGAGGATTAGCCACTTATTTGCAGTGTGTCTGTCTTCTCTGCATTTGGGGAGGAAGGCGAATATCTTTACTTGGCAAATATCTGAGTATTATCAGGTTCTTCTGTTAAAAATATTTCTGGAAGAAGATTTTAAACCTTGCTTGCAGGAGCATAAGAATTGTCTTAATGGAGCACTTTATTCCTCAAAGAATATCCATCACAAAATGCTCTACTTTTCTTGAGACATTACTGGTTACAATTAATTTTCAGGTGTGGGAAAAATCCTCCCAAAGGAGAAGTTTCTAGTTGTAATGTTGTTTTAGCACCATGATAACTTATGTTTAGTAGGACATATACATAACTGTGCTCACTTCTCACAATCTTCCTTTTAAAAAGAAAAAATTGTATTTATTTTTATAGGTTTTTACTGAGAATTTCTGACCATTAGAGTGTGACTCTAACAACCATTTAAACGTGGTTCCTACTTTCTGTCACTCAGTTAAATATATATTGCATAAATATATTCTTCACAGTAAGTCTTAGGATTTTAACGGTTTCATGTCTGATTTTAATACCACTGTAATGACATTCCTTCTTCTCATCACAGTTCCTCTCTGGATCACTGCCATGGACTACTTTTCAGCAGAAGCCTTCCATTAGAAATACTGAAATTCACTGGATTTGACAATTATTACTTCATGGTGAAACTGTAAAAACTTCTTAAACTAAGTAACTTTTTCTTAGGCTGAAGTCAGTAATAGCCTGTTCATTTTCCTATTTTGCCCCTGAACTATGGAACTAGCTGTTCAAAGAAGCCATCATTTGAATTGTTGAGAAATTGCCTCTCAAAGATCTGTCCTGAAATAACAACTTGACAGTCTACGTGCAACTATTTGGAGTGGTACACTACTACTTTCTTAAAAAACACTGTATTTAGTTTCTTCTTTGCTTTCCTTCACACTGCCTGCTCTGTATGGTATTTACATACTATAGGCAACCAATTTAGGTATCCTAATTAAAAGTATTGGCTTCTTATGCCATCAATGGAAAGAGGAACAGTGTTTCAGAGGGCAATTAAAAGTAAAACACTGAGAAACCTGAACACTTTTTGTTAAATTCCCAGGACAGATTGTGAAGATGTCTGAACCTTCATGAAGCCTTTTTTGTTTTTTTGCTTTTAATTGGGACATAAAAAACATACTGAAATTTGTTAATAAAAACTTGCTTGAACTGCAGTTTAAATGCATGGGGAGTCTCTTGCTACTTGTTGCTTGCTTCTCTGAAATATTCTCCCTCAAGATGATTTTTCGAGAGAATTGCTCTTTCCCTATTACTATCTCAGTCAGTTCTACACAGATTATAACCTAACTAGCCCATCATTTTTTTCTTTTGATCCGTTTCAGAAAAAATAATTTCATAGCTGGACAGATATTCTGGTTTGCCTTTAATTGCTTTTAGCATTTTCATATTATTTTACCTATTTGAGGTACAGAGGAATCTGTTTTGCTGGTATCCCCGGTGAATGCTGATCTTTGGCCCTACTGCTCCTCTGCTGCTTGTGGTTTCTTCCCAATAAAAAATAACAACTTTCCAGGCCTCTGCCATGTTCCCATCCTGTGTAATTCTGCTTTGCATGCAAGGAGCCTACGCTTTTAAAAAAGCTCTCTGTCATCTCAGAGTATTCCAGGCACTACAGAGAAGCAAACAAGAGCTCCCTTTAAGCCCTCTAGACATGATTCTGTCTAGCAGTTTTTGACAGAAACTGGAACAATTTTAAACAAATCACAGGCATCCTGGACCAAAAGCTTTTTTATTCTGTGTAGTTTCCATGAACTCTCATGCACTTATCTGTGCTGCTGGTATCTAGATTACAAACTTCTTCCTGCCACTAAAAAGAATCTTCTCTAACTGCTGTCACTACAGCTGGTCAGGAAGCTGCTGAACAATTATCTTGGTTGCTGCATACACAGATACAGTATTTTGATAACTAAATGGCCTACCATTATAGCTTGTTAACAACTCCCAGTGTACTCTCATCTCCTTGAGGGAGATTTTGGCTTTGTTTTCTTCTCTTTGAAAAGCTCAATCTCTTAACATTTCACCATCTCCATGTCTCTTTTTTTTTTTTTTATCCTTTTATTATTCCAGAACAACATTTTATAATTATTATATTTTACCCCCAACTGCTGGTAAAATAAAGGTGGTACATATAAAACACCACTAACTACACATGGGTAACTGGCAGAGAAAAAGAGCTTGTTCCTGCTTGTTTAAGAGACATAGCCAAAGTACTTGAAAGAAACTACAAAGAAATAAGAAGGAGAAGGGAGAAAGTTTCTTTAAAGATTCAATATTACACATACTCCCTGATGTACAGCCTGTACTGCTTTGATTTTGCAGTGAGCCTGTATTCCTTAAATTGATCTTTTCATTTAGAAAAAGAAGCTTTCTCAACTGAGAAAGTTTCTATTTATAGTTATAAAAAATTAGTAATAAACAACAGATAACTTCTGTTTCTCTCCAAAATAAACCCTTTTCTTTCTAGGAATGTTTTATTATATCCTGAGGTACACATTAATTATCCCTGGCTTGGGATCTTTTTCCCAAGTCTCATCTGGAAATACTTCAAATTGTATAAATTTAAAATCATTCTCTTTTTTGAATAAGCTACATTTCTGAACTCTTGAAATGTTCTACTTATTCTATCATTTTACTTTTCTTCCAAGAACAAGGCAAAGTACTGCAGAGACCAAATAGTAAGAAGTGGAAAATCCTCATAACATGAAGGACTGACAGCTGAAAATCCTAAATCTGATGGACTGCCTTGTAGATTGGCATGAACAATGTCTCTCCCCATAAGCCTTAATCTCCTAAACAGAAAGGAAAATTATTTATTTTTAAGGCTGCTTTAGTTTTTCTATACCAAACAGTCTCTATTTTTCTTTTTCTATATCTTTCTCTATTTATTTCTATTTTTCGTCTTTTTCTTTTTTCCCTCATTTTTTTTCTTTATTTTTTGCCCTTTCCTTTTTATCTCCTTTCCTTTCCTGCCCTCTAGTGAACAACCAAGCATGTTTCTAAACAAACTGAGCACACTTCCAAAATACTTCAGGTTTCTGTTTTTTGAGGTTATGCCACCAGAATAAAAACAAATCAAAGGTAGAGGCCATTGGTATATCACAAATTACACTAATGGGAATAAGAGTGACATGTTTCTGAGCTGTTCATGGCTGAGCCTCTCAGACTGGGTTAATAACAGGCAGGTTACAAACCCCCTGCTGCCTCCAGAAAAGTCCCTACCACTGGGTGAGATTTGGCATATAATTCAGCTGTGGTTTTCTAACCATGCTATTGTACACAAGAAAGAGGAAAATATTGTATTTTATAGATTATTTTCTCATAAAATGAATAAACATAAATAACATTTTAAAAGGGGGTGTATGTATGGTGAATCTCAAAAGTCACTGTGAAGGCTATTAACATACCAGTCCTAAAAGGTGCTGAGAGCCTTTTTCTCCTTGAATTCAAGGCTAATTGAATCCTGCTTTTACAGTATAATATTTTTTTAATTGTTTCCATTCATATAGACCTGCTGTAGTTTCACATTTGAACTATCACAAAGCCATGATGGCAAAGGAAACCAGGCTACTGGTAATTTAGAATAATAGTACCTTTTGTGTATAGTGATGTGGAGAGAATATTTAGTTTATTTCAGGCCATGCTCTTTACAATTGTGTTCCAGCATAACAGTGAAATATTTTTCTGGATTTAAAATGACTTAGAAGACCTGAGGAGCAGGATGTGTTTGTATTTACACAGGTATTTGCACTTCCACAGATTTCTAGATACAAAATCCCTTTAATTTTGAAATGAAGGCAGTCAAGGTAGTGCATTTGCTACTTCTGCTGCAGGCTCAGCGAAGGTTTATGAACTCAAAAGCTTGTATAGTTTTTCCAGCTATGCTAATGATGATAATAAAAGATACAAACAGCAGCATTGCAGGTCTTGTTTTCAGTCTGTGGCACCTGCATGCAGGAAGGGAAGCTCTCATCATGCATGCTTTGGGGAAGTTGGGAAGGTCTGAGAGGGCTGCAGGCCTATGAGTCACATTTGATGACAGTTTATGTGGAAACATTATGGCCCCATGCAAAGCAGTGGATGAATTATGTAAGTTTGGGACTCTGGCCATAGCCTGGCTATTCCCTGCCTGCTGAGCACAGCTTGAAATTTAAATGGAGACACAGAGCGAAGCCGATGGGATTATAGAAAACACACATGACCGAGGCATCACGTTTGTCAAAGCATGTGGTTTCTGCCCCATGCTGGCTGCATTCTTCTGTCACGCTGATGCTGTGCCTGTGTGTAAATCACTAAGCTGAACAGGCCACAAGCATCAGACCGTGATCTGTCACTAGAACCTGGTGACAGCCTGGTACAGCTTGTAGTCTCTCCCCACAAAAAAATCATGGTTGCGCTTTAGGCATTAGCATGGACCAGGGAGAGAAAATTTGGATGTAATTGCCTTACAGTGACTAGACTGTAGAAATGTGCTAGATCTTTTTCCTTGTACTTAAGTGATTTAATTTCCTAATATAACAGTAGTCTGCAAGATGAATTGAGTTTGGAGGTACTCATCTCTGCATTCGCAACAGGAAGGTACTGACCCCATTCAACTACCTTTTCCAAAGTAAGTGTTTGAATATGGTATGAGTGAAAAAACCACATTTCAAAATTATCAACTGAATCCTCTTCTAGTTGGTCCTATCTGGGATGAGTAAGCCTCATCCCCATCAAGCTGATGAGGCTTACTAGAGGTGGGGTGGGACAACACTTTCCTTTTTCTTCCAACACTCGATTTGGCAAAGCCAGCTAATGGGGTTTTTGGATATCTGTTCTTCGAGATTAATACAGAGAACTATGTCATTTATGTAATATAATTTCCATTTCATAGTTATTATGCAAGCATTCAGTTTCTACGGAGTCACAGTATTTTGCTATGTAAGGAGCTGTGCAAGGATCACGAAGCCATTGGCACCAAAATGCAGTCTTACACATTTTGTAGGGGAGAAAAAAAGTCCCCGAACAGAAAAATCCCAACATTTAACTACTGAAAGCAGAAAAAGCATAGTTGTTCTTCCGGCACAAAGCGCTATTGCAGTATTTTTTCTGCTCCTCATCATTCCTTATAATGGAGCAGGGGCAGGTTACGGACAGGGTCCCTCACGTCCGGCGCTGAGGCGCTGTGGCAGACCCAGCGCTGGCCGGGCCCGCTCCCGCCATGGAGCCGCAGCACCGCGGCCCGGC